TTTGTCCTTTGTGACTGCTGTTGCTATGGCTTGGCTCCATCTCCCCCTCCCCTTTAGGTACAGAATTTTAATATTTCCGGTGGCAGTAATGACGTAACTGCAGAAAAACTGGTGTTTAAGTTTCCTTACCTGAAATTAATTACTAGAAGAAAAGTTACCTATGAAATATATTTCATAGAAGTAAGTAGAACTGTTGATCAGAAAAATTCATGAAGGTTAGAAATAGCTTGCTTGCCTCCACAAGGGAGCCAGTCACATACCACATACCACAAAATCCTTCAGGATGAACAGTTAGTTATTTAGCACTCAAAGCATCCTCCAGATATGACTGCATCACAGCTTTCCCCCTTCAGTCCCTGTGAGGGTTAATCTTTCCTCATCCTTAACAGCTACCTCTCAATATCCTTCCTAAAAACAAAGGTAGAAATGGTGTGTGGGATCATCAGCTATTGACAGGAATAAAGGCTCCCCTTTATAGACTTACCATTCCTGGATGAACTGCAGAAGTAAGGAGGTGAGGAGAACAAGAAGTTGCATTCACATATTTGGATGCTGCTCTAGCTGATACCCACTAACCCAAATCAGGGTAAGCTACACTCATGTCACCTAAAGGGACAAAAGAAAACTGGCTTGACTGGTTAGCAAAAGGGGAAAATTTCCTTACCAGGAAATCGGACACACAGCCAGGTGTGTCAGGGCTCACGCTTAGAGAGAGCACAGAAACTTGGAACAATAAGAGGAAGAAAGGTGCAGGTAGAAGTCAAAGAAAGAGGGAAGAGCTTCATGCTCTCAAGACAAAACCCAGAGTAGGAAGGACTAGGAATTTGGATAGAAAAACCAACCTATATCCTGAAGAATGTCCTTGTCCCACCTCTGTACTATGTTCACTGGGGGACTCGATGCTTCAAACTTGATGGAAAACGATTCCCTCCGTACCACGGCCCTCAGCAGCAACTCTGGATTTCCCTTGTTCTTAGTATGGCACTAACACTGCAACAAAGCTTCCCAGCAAACAGCAGCAGACCCTGGTGAGAGGGACCCTGCGAGAGGGTAGAGTGCCTCAGCAGCCAGCCAACCTGCAACGATGGATGACTCTATCAGCCCACATGAAAGTACCCTCTGCCCACACCCCCCACAGCCCTGGGAGAGCTGTGGAGCTGGCAAGGGCTCAACTATAGCGGGAGGCTTTTTTGAACCAACCTCACCACGCAAAAAAACACAGAGGCAGAGCAGAAAAACACAGCATGGCTCCCGGGGGTGGGGGGGCTATGCACGAGGACTCGCTGCGGAGGCGAGGGCCGTGCGGCTGTGCCTCGCTATGGAAGGAAGGGGCAGGCCTCGCTGTGCCAGGGCGGGGGCCAGGAGAGACAGTAGCAGAGGATGCCATGTGGCAAGGTCCACGAGAAGAGAGCGCTCCTTTCTGATGCGTGCCCTAGCAGGGCACAGAAAAGCGCCTACACTGAAACGGCAGGGGAAATCATTTAGACTTATACCTGCCAGAAGAAGGGCAAATACTGTAGGGGGAAAAGAACAACACTGGAAATTTGGAAAAGGCTGCAGGGAATGAGACAGAAACAGGAAGGTAGGCCCAAGGAGATAAAGACAAGGCAAAAGAAACTGTAAGAGACCTGGCAGCTGCTGAAAGCAAAAGACCAGCGGGGCCCAAAGCCCACGTGACATCCCAGGCTGCTGCAGAGAGCGAGACCAAGGCGATGCCTGGGTCTAACCATGGGGCAGGGATAGTCTGTGCTGGCTTATATAAGGAATTCAGTTCTGGGAACTCTTTGCAGATCTGGACTTACTATCATTATTGCATCTCACCAGCCAAGAGAAGCTATCGTGCCCTTACTTGGAGGAGCAGGAAAGACTCAGCTAACACTCCCAAAGCAGCCACAATTGGTGTCAGACCCAGGCAGCCGGATCGCAAGGCCTGAACTGCAGGACGGAGAAGTACCAACAGGCAGGCCCCGAGCAGTCCAAGTGACCGACTGCATGGTAGGAGATTGCCTGAGGGAGAGTGACTCTCACCTAGGTGCGCAGCCCCAAAGGGTGAACTTACCTGATGTTTCCACAGGACCCCCTAAGGCAGCTTCCCTCCAGTCCCACGCTCCTCTCTTCGGACACACACTGAAAGACCACATCCTCCACATTCACTGTGCAGGACCACACTTTGTAGGGGTCTACCCTCGAGGAAGGCTATGCCCCTGCCAGCACCTTGACTTCCCTGGTCCCACAGAGCCACGAGCAGCCCTTGGCAGCATGCCTGCTGCTGAGCAAAGCTCCAGCCTGCTCAGCCCCCAGTCAGGGGCAAACAAGCCAAAGTGGTGTTACACCTTCTTTTGGCTAATCAAAGGGGTAAGGGAATGAAAATCTTAAATGGAGTGGACAGCTCATTTAAAAGCTAGCCTATACTAATGATGAGCAATACTGAAATCTTTAGCAATATAAATACTATAAATGTGTGCGTGCAACAGAACAACGACAGTACCAGTTACAGTTCTTTGACAAGGGACTGCTGATTTCCAGAGGCAGTAAACAGCGCATCTCTCTCTTTCGTTGTCCTTAGGTGTATCTTCAACCCCAATTCAACCTTACTGCAAGCCCAGGATCCGTCTCTGGATAACTTTATATCCCTGACCTGACAAAGCGCAGCACAGAACAGTACTTATACAGTACCCCCCCTCTCCTCCATTCCTGTGAGATACAGACCCCATCACTGTAACAAGCCCCTCCCTTTAGTCTACTGGCAAGGGCAGCACCTTTGAGCACCACTGGACAGGCAAGATGACACGTGAGCATGGGTGCAGCCTGCTTTCAGCCCCTCTAACAAGCTAGTGTCACTCTAGTCCTGGAGGATACAGTGCAGAATGGGCTGAGACTGAACCATCCCACTACCACAAAAATACAAGAATTGTGGAAACGTCAACAGCTTTGTGCCTAAAAACATTGAATCAATCGGTACCACATATATTTAAAATGGTAATACTACGCTATCATCTGTTCAGTGGCTCAGACCCTGCCAGCCTCGACACCTGATCTCTAGGTGGTGCTATTTGCAACAGATAATAACTTTTTAAAATTCTAATTTCCAAGTGCCATCTGCTGGCACTTTACGATTTTCAGTTGGCAATACTTGCAAACCCACGTACTTCATGACCACCTTTTTGTTAATATGAAGTATATTGCCTCTACATCCCAGAACACTTGATTAACAGATCATTGCAAGAGTGCTGCAGACAAACACCAGGAGCACTGAAGGGAAATCACTGGCAAGGATTCTTAGGAAAAGCTATTACTGCATTAAGAGGATCTGGCGACTGTTTCTGTGAACTCATATAAGGTTGCTTACATTCAAGCTCTGCAAGAACTACTCTTCTGCTATCTTCAGATGGAAAAGATGTTTTATGGATTGCCAGCTCTGAAGATCCTCCTCCACCTCCTCTTAAGCTTCTAAAACAATACCGAAGGAAAAATTCACATTTCTAAAAACATGACAGGAAGTCTGTGAGCTTATCTGAGCTGTTCTAAGCTACCAGCATTGTAAGCTCTAGAGGCTGTTATTAATCAGAAACTGCAAGAAAAGGCTTAACCCATTTTGCCATGCAAGCTACAAACGCAGAGGCATATATCCCTTTTTGAACCCATCAACTTCCAGTTACTTTCGAAAAGACAGAAATGATAGCAAGTATTTTAACAGTGCATAAAAAAACTCATAATTATTTTTAAGATGGATCCAGACAGTAGTACTTTAGAAATCTAATTAGAGTTCAGTGTTTCTTTTTTTCCTAAAAGTCTTCATCACAAATTCTGTAATTGCTTCATGATCAGGGCAAAAGAATCCTGTGTTTCTGCAAAACTATATCTGGAAGTTACCAGTTTCTGATGGCTATGACTAGTAAGTAGCTACTATACTTCACAAAAATGTTAAGTCTAATTTAAATTTACTTGCTTTTTTTTTTTTTTTTTTTTTTTAAATTTGGCAAAAGGTAAGTAGCACACTAAGTACAGACTGAGGTGCAATAGTCACAGCAGCTCAGGAAAACCATCTTCATCTGCAATATGCTCCTTAAAAAAGGCAAAAGCTGTCAGCCTGCTTGCCACACTTCTTCGGCACAAAGATGGGCTGCTATAAAGTCACTACTGTTCAGAAGCTGGAGGTACATCATCAGTAACTGTGACTGTACAGTAGTCAGTACCCTTCAGCAAAACTACCTCAGTAAAGACACAGCACCTGAAAATAGCTACGCTGTTGTAATTTCAAAGTTCATCCTTAAGATCACTTACAAATTACACCACCAATTACTAACGCCATCCTATTACAAGAAGTACTACTAAGGTTAAAAGCAACAGGAGCCCAAGGCCGGGAAAGTGGCCAAGCATTCCCAAAAGGAAGGTCCCTTGAATAGCTAGAGCTTAAGAAAAGGTAGAATAAATTATTGCTCCGTCATCCACTGAGCAGGGAGCCTCAATATGATTTGTGAAGCACCAAAGCAGCCAAAGCTGCATAAACACACATACTGCAAGGAGTGTAGGCTGTTAGAACTGGCTGAGGTCTGCTTAGGCTTCTTGGACCCCTTCTGTAAGAGGAGCAGATCCACGCTACTTGCAACGATTCCACCTACCTCTCCAATTTTGTTTCCCTTTCTCCCCTCCTCTGGCCTAATCCTTTCTCCTCCACTTTCTTCTAAGTTTTCAGCCCTTCCTCCTGTCACTACCATCTTCCCCAGTTCTTCCTGCAGGACACACACAGGGAACGGCTGTGGATGACTAAATCACTTTACTTTCTTGAGGCTATCACGTCAAAAATCCAGTTTCTGCAAACACACAAATAATACAGTTGGCCTAGAGTAGTAGTAACAGACACTACCATGATTTGCTACTGATGCAATGCAGAACACACGGCCACACTGCCTCTCCAGCCCCAGCACTGTCTATCTACGTGCAGCTTCCTGAACCTGGCAAGTATTTGTCAGGCACCAACCATTCAGAGACAACACAAACTTATTTAATGTAAATTTATTCTTTCAGTAAGTCATAGTCAGCTCTTATGCGACCAGGGCAGAAGCTGTCGATGATTCACTAAAGAAAAAAAAAAAAAAAAGAGAGAGAGAGAGAGAGAGAATATTAGTTGCAGAGGCACTTTTTCAAGCTAGTTGCCAGAAATACTGCTTCAGATCAAAGCTTTAACTATCAGTCTTGAGTTTAATCATGATCTGTTTAAATTTTTATATAGGATAAAGGAAAATGTCACCCTTCCTCTTAGAATACAAGAATGGCAAAAATATTAGGATAACAGAACAAAACAGCATTTTCAAAAACCTGGCTAGTGGCACTTAAGTCTTTCCAGACTAAGAGAAGCTCACCCAGACATCTAAGAGAATTCTCTGATGTTGGCTAAATTTGCCTAGACTTCATTTTTCCCTCAGGTGCTGAATCAGCTTTCAACAGATCTTTATATAGCATGAAATATAAAGGTACCTGAATCGGACCAGAGACTTCAGTTTGTGTTCTAAAAATTATCTAGTATATAGTTACTTCACCTGGTGAGACTATATTTTCCAAGCGTTGTGACCATCATTTTAGCCAGCTGTAATTTCCATGAATTTAATCAGTTAATATCTATGGAAATACCGATTCTTTGCTGTCTGGTTTACCTATATGCCTCATCGTAACACATTCTTGACTCTCCAGAAACAGCCCCAGCACATCACTTACTAGACCTAGAAGACCTCCCTGAAAGCAAAGAAATGAAAGAAAAGACTTACTACTTCCAGTTAGGTGGCAGTACTCTCTTAGTCTTGTAGTAGCGAGCCAACCTATGAATTCTGCTTTCAATCAGGATCAGGCGGAACTTGGCATCTTTATCCTTTAAAAGAAAGTTACATCACAGTCAAGCACTATTTTGACTTCTACACTTGATCTACACTGCAGTCTGCGTTTTATAGGACAGTGCGGGGGGGTGGGAGCTTTCTCCTCACATGCACGTATTATTTGGAACAGCTGCATAAAGTTCATTTTTAAAACTGGATCTAACGAAAGTTAAAGAAATCACTGTATTATTTGAGAAAGTGAAAGTTTCTAGTTAAATTAGCACCCACCTTTCTGTTTCTCTCAAGATGCTTGCGAACAGCAACAGCTTTCTTGATCAAGTGATAAAGATCCTCTGGAAGGTCTGGGGCCAGTCCCTTCGATTTAAGAATTCTCAAAATTTTGTTCCCAGTAACAAAGCGAACCTGGGCAACACCATGGGAATCCCTCAGGATTACACCTGAAACAAACATTTACAATTCATACTGGAAAAAAAAAACAGAAAAAAAAGAAAGAAATCCCACACAAAAACTCCTGTTGCAAAGTTTCACAAGATAGCCAAGAAAAGTTTTCTCTAAATACTGGTTAAACCTCTCACTTTACCACAAAGCACTCAATAGACAACCGATCCATCCACCACATTCAGGCAGGTAACGTATTAAGAGCTACAATATCAGTCAGCAGGACGTATTAAAAATTAAAACTATTTATTTGGAGAAGAAAGATTTTTATAGACTACCTATGATTTAAGTTTTCGTCAGACATGGCTAACAAAAAACTAGGGAACTCCTGAGCTACGGTTTACAGCAAAAGTCAAACTAAAAAGGAACGTGTTCAAATGCAACACTATAGGTCACTCTTAAAGCACGCTAAATTAAAGAACTTACTCGACCACACGGACCACTAATAGTCTCAGGACAACTATGCAAGGAAAAGAAAGTTCTTTTACACAATGCATAACCTCACTGCAGAACTCACTACGATACAAAGGTGTAGCACAAGCACATACGTAAGCGGAGTTTTAAAGGGGTCCAAGCCATCGAGAGCTAGTTCATTAGGTAGCTGCACAGTATCTGGCTTAGTAAGCTCCTCAACCTAGGGCAGCTGATATTTGGGGTATCGAGTTTTCCCTCCGAGAAACAGGAGGAAACGAACTTCCCCATAATAACTATTAGTGGTTGTTCTTAAGGACGGGTTATAAGATTAAACAGATGTTTTATGCTTGAAAAAAGACAACTTAACTAGAACAGGGAAACAAAAAGTTTCTTAGAAGAGAACAGCACGTTAACTTCCAACATCCTCATTCTTGCGAGAACCGTGGCTGATGAAAGCTGCTACGCTGCCAGAGGTAACCACACAGTGAATAAATACGTACATCACAAAATCAGTATTTCTTAGCATGTTGTTTTACACAGGTTGAGGGAACAGTTGAAGTATTATAGTCAGGAAAAAGTATTTTGTCTCCATTTGGGAGTTATTCAGAAGCCTTACCGATTTGTGAGGGAGTCAGGCCTTTTTTAGCCAGCTTGTAGATCTGTTCCTTTACATCATCAGAAGTAAGCTTCAGCCACTGAATAAAAAAAGAAAAAACAGGTTGATAATCAGTGTTTAATACAGAAATATAGGCTGGCTAGATAAAAACCTTTTATAAGTGCTGGAAATAGATGCTTTGTAATGCTTGAGAGAACAATCTAGAACTTACATTATGCTTCTAAAGATATAGAAACTTTTTCGGATAGTATGAATCCACAGCGTTAGTTAAACATGGGGTGGGGTGCGAGGGTGCACAGAAGAAAGTCCCTGTTTAAAATACCAAATATAGCTAGCCTCCAACTTGTTTTATCCTTGATTTTAATCACTACACTTGATGCACAAATATAAATTTACAGAGGAAGTCACTACCATCGGAAAGGAGTTCTTTAACTAGGCCTTTGACCAAAACAACTCAAAACTGAGAACCACTTAGCCATCTCTTATTATGTAACCTCCACAGATCAGCAGGGGAAAAGGAAGATCAGATTTCAGGTACACAAAGTAATCCAAAACTAAGATAAAGAGAACTCTACTCAGGCAGGCCTATGACTTTTCAGTTACTTCTATATTATACTGTGCTGATAGAGACACTGCTTCCACGATTATTAAAAGAAAGACAGCACCAACAAGCTAGAAAAGCTTTCTGAAGTGTTTCTTTTTTTAAAAAAAAAATACTTACACACGTTTTGGAAATGGAAGGATAAAATGGAAGACGTATTTTAGAAGTACTCTACAGATGACATCTCAAAAGAGAATTCAAATAAAATCAAGCAAATAACAGGGTTTTTTCAAAACAGTAGATCATTTGAGCCTCCTAACCTGCATTAAATATTTTAGCCACTGGTAGCACTCGAAAACAGTTTCGTGCTATTTTACTTTTGGTTAGGCCTACGTACGTTAGCTTCACGTGTCTGTTTAACAGATAGTGCAAATGGGACAGCTTCATCCATAAGAATCATTAATACACAATCTAAAGATAATTGAAACAGTGCCCTCCAAAAGAGACGCGCAGAGAGGAAAACACGCTTTTTCCCCGACAAGTCAGCTAGCCAGCAAACAGCGCTCGTTTTTTCAGAATCCTAAAGACCATAACGTTAAGTACCATCTAATAACCCCCGCTATCAGTCTATATTACAGAAGGACGTTACCAAACCCAGTTAACCTCCTCCTTTTCCCTGCTTTAGCGGGGCAGGGCCAGGCTGCACCCAGGGAACCGAGAGCCGTGCTAGAGCCGCCCGGGCCCGCCAAGCGCACCGGGGGCAGCCGCTTACCGTAGGCACACTGCGTCGGTAGGGCAAGGCTGACTGGGACAAGCCCTTTCTGTGGAGAAAAAAGAAAAA